GTAGACAACGTCCACGGCCTTTCCCTCATGCATTAATGAACCAAGATCTCTTTTCTGAGACTACCAGAAAGAGGGTCACAATTTTACAGTACTACCTTTGAGAAGAAATCTTTTATAAAAAGAGTTTTTGCCCTTAGCACTTCCTCTGTTTAGAACTGAAGAGTGCTTCTTGTGGGATTTACTTGCATTTACCTTTTATTTGAAGCTGAAAATTATTTGGATTAAATCTGTATTTAATATTCTATCTAGTGGTAGCTTGTGGTAACAGATCTATTAATTATCTGATGTATCTGGAGGTACTGTATGCAGAACTTGGTATAATGTATGCTTTTGATATAGCTATAGTACAAACCTACAATATTTTTTTCACTTCAAATAAATGTTTACTTCTAACAAAAATTATTTAAAAACTCTACCTGGAGAAAATATTTTTCAGAGGACAAGGACAAAGCTTGATTTTTGTGTGAGACAATAACAACACAGATAGTGTTCTGCATCACTCAAAGCTTGGCTGTCAGGTAAATGATGAGAAAGGGAGACCACATTAATAAATTCAAAAACTGAAGAAAGGACAACTTTATGATTATTTCTAACTTAAAGCATAAAGAAAGGAGGCTGTCTGACCAATGTTCTGGTTTTGGGCTTACAGACTGGGATGAATGTGCATCTCACACCGAGAATGACTGCTCTGCATCTGCAGAATGTATCAATTTGATGGGCTCATACCTGTGCAGATGCAAGACAACCATGGATACCAATCCAGCCCGACCTGGAAGAAACTGTGAGGGTGAGCAAAACACTGACATGCAGTTTCCCTTTGCTGCCATGAAAGGTTGGAATAAGTTGTGTTTTTCTACCTCTGCTTTTATTGCAACTGTTTATATAGCACAAAATGCATATAGATGCACCTTTACAGTCTCTGGCTGAAGGAATATATATGATTTCTCTCTGAACATGAAGGCAAACCTTATATATGTCTTCAGATGAAATCTCTCTGAGATCCTCCTTGATTAGCCTAATAACTGACTGCAGAGCAACACGAGGCATCCTTTTTCCTCTTTTGATATGTCTGTGGCTAATTTCCTGACACTGTAATGATCCATGTCCTGCCAACCAGAAGAAGAGACCCAGGAATCAAATCTGCTTCTTTGTGTAGGCACAAGCCGGATTCAACACCATAAAAATCATGTATGCTACAATGTGTTAATGAAGTTTCCTGTTCCTGTAATGCTATTATGCGTGACTGAGCGGTCTCAGTTCCATTTTCAGGTCAAACCCTGGTGCCTCGTCATCCAGACTGAGGTCCCATTTCAATGTGTGCTTGCTATGTTGCAGGTGAGATTGTGGATCCTTTCACTGAAACGATGGCTCCTGAAATAACAAACAGCACAGAGTTTTTTCCTGAAGAAGTAAGCTCTGCAGGCCCTGCTTCCCCTGCCAGCACCGAGATGGCGGCTGCTGTAGGCTCGGAGATGAGCACTGCCGTACACCTCCCTGCTGCACTGCCCCTGGGTGACAAGCAAGCACCCCGTGGTCATACTCCCACGAGCGCTCCTCTAGCCCCTTGGAAAAAAGCCCTGACACCACAGATGGGCTTCGGCAGGGACAACAGTCCCATGACCACAGGGATCACAGCCAGTGAGGATCTGGCCATGAACACAGATCAGCAGACAACTGCAAGTCCATCACAGAGAAGCTCCGCAGTGGAGGCTTCCCCCAGTGGATCGCAGCGAGCAGCCGCTCTCACAAGTGGACTCATGGGCACAGCTGGGCAAGAGCAACACAGTTCACCATTGCTGGTGTTGTTGAATCAAACCACCTCTGCTACCACTAGAAGTCACACAGCTTTTGATGTGACTCAAACCAATTCTCAAGGTGATCCTGGCACAACTCTGCTGGCCACAGGAGATGCTGTTGTTCCCACCCTCAACGCCACTCTCAGAGCACAGGTAGAGACAGAAGGAGAGAACAGCTCTTGGTCCGAGAAATACTCTGGAACCCTGGGGTCACCAGCTTTGCCAGGCTCCTCTCCAGCTCCCAGCCTGACACCAGGCCCAGCCATGGACCGTGGTGAGTACGGGTCCGATGGGGACTTGCACGCATGGTAATTCAACTGCATGAGAAGCAAAGCCTCACTCAGAGTTGGGAAAGATGCACAGCTGGAATCAGTGGTCTGGGATGAAGGCATCTGAAAATAGTTTTTCTGTGTCGAAATTATTTTCTTGCAGGAGTTGTCACTTTTTTCTAAATCAGCATGTCAAAATAATTTCTCTTTCTGGTAATTTGGCAGTTAGTTTTATCAATGTTACGTTTCTTCATCTCAAAGCAGGTGAAGAAGGTCATAGAGTGCACTGAGAGTGGCTTATCGAAACATAGGCTGCTTGTCCTTTTGCCACACGTCTTGGTTTCTCCTGTATGCTCTGGCATCAGGGTCTTACAGCAGCAGCAGACTATAGAGTTGCCTTAAAGACTCAGGAAGGCAAACAACCTGCCTTTCTATTCCTCTCCACGGAGGATGGATTAGGCAGAGCTCCGCAAATCCCCTGTGGGGCAGGAGCTGCGTGGAAACCTGTAAGCCACATTTTCAAGAGCTGTAATTGAGAGTAACTAGGCTGGTGGGAAGGGCTTTATCTGTATGGGTTTGGGCAGATGTATTGCAGCTAATCAGGGAATTTTTCTATTGATTGGAGCTGAATCATATTTCAAGTTTAGAGTCATATTTGGTCTTTAAATTACAGTTTTGTTTGGGATAGGAATGCTCTGTCTCCCCCCATCACTAAGTGTATTTTTTCTTTAGTGTGTTAGTAAGTGATACCTGTTTCAGTTTTGTTTCTGCTTGTCTTTATTCTTCCCCTCATGCCCTCCGCACCTCTGCAATCCCAAACTGTACTCCCCTCTGCTCTTTTCTCTTCCCCTGCCCTATGATCTCCTCTTCCTGTGGGTGTCTACTCAGCCAGCCCCACTTCTGGTTCTGCCTCATCCCTTTCTCCCTGGAAAACCTCTTTTTCAGACACCTAAGGCCAGCTCTGCTGCTTCTCCAGCCTCTCTTGTACCACCAGCCCTGACCACCAGTGCCACAGTGCCCACTTCTCCAGTCCTGCTAAGCTCTGGGCAGCCATGATGATGCCCCTGTTCAGCTTTTGTCCCCTCTCTTCTTCATGTTTATCCTACACTTTACCTGGCATTGGTGAGACCCAGGAATGGAGCTGGGCAAATGACTGATGTGGGACCTCGGTGGCCAAATGGAGGAAACAAGTAATTTTGGACTGAACAACATGCTGACCTGAATTGAAAAGCTCCATTTACTGCTTTGATTTGTGTTACCCCTGCCCCCTTTCAGTGTAGGGAGGAGGAAAAAAAAGTGTTTTTTTTAAAAAAACCTGAAAACGAAAAATGTTCCTTTTTTAAAAAAAAAAAAGTCAAAATAGCTAATTTTAACTGACAAAAAATCAAAGGTAATTTTCTTCCAGATGAAAAACAAATTGAAGAATTTGACACAAACAAGTTCGGTTTATAAAAACTTGTTTTCTTTTTGTGATTAATCAAATATTCAGCCAAGCGCTTTTGCTAGGAAAGAAGCTTATGAAAGAATTAGTCTGGGAAGAGCCACCGTAGTGGTATCTCACTGGCCAGGGGCGGGCAATTCAGAGGGCAAAAATACAGGTTTGGTGAAGTTTCATATCTAGCTCCTCCCTGTGGCAACGCCTCTGACCTGGAGCGTCAACCCCAGCCAACTCTGTCGTGTCTTTTAAATACTGGCTTTTTTTTCTTTTTAATTTGAGAACTGCCCAGAACATTTTCCCATCTCACCATCAGATAACTGAATGTGTTTTATCTCCTAAATACCTCTGTTCCCATGAGAGCACAAGCCATAGCAAAAAACAGGCCCCAAATATTTTGATGTGATCGGTAGTGGCGAAGGTTCCTTTGGGATCAGAAGTATGCTAGGACAGAAGAAGCCTGCTTCAGTGGCTTGCTTTAAGCAGGCATGATTTCCTCCTCTCCCCTGTAAAGCTTTACTTAATGACTATGTCTTTTCTTCTAGTACCTGTCCCAGCTCAAAGGATTATTGTCCCTGCTGTGACTAGAACCAACTTTAATGTAACATGGTCCACAGAATTTATGTGGCTCTGCTTTTCAATTCTTGCTGCTTTAGAAAGAAGCTAATGTGGGAGACTAAAATTCAGTATAGGTGCCTGATAGTCTCAGAGCTGGAGCCTGGTGCCTTATGTGCTATTGAAATCAGGACAGATGTGTGTAGGGAGGAAAGCTGGTACACCAGAAAGTAAAGACTGGTAACTTGATTCAGAAACAATTTTAACTCAATCCTTAGCCAGATGGCAGAGTTCTTGAAGTCTTTGGTGAAGAATATCCTATATTAGTATAAAACATTGAAACATTAAGTCTTGGTATGCTAGGAGCGATGATCTTCGGCTGCCAATGATCATGGTATTGGGTGATGGCAGTCAGCTTGCCTGGCTAGCCACTAACAGGGTGCTAGGGGTATGACTCATGTCCTGAGAGGCCATTTCTCTCCTGCTTGTGATCACCTTCAGTGTCTGTAGTAACAACGCCAAAGCCAGTGATATTGAGAAATGACCTAAAACACTTGAGACTGCCTTAATACGATTCAGCAGATACAATTTCAGGAAGGAGTCATACACCCTGTTGAGATTCATCTCATCTTACAGTAGCTGCCTAAAACATAGATGTCTAATTTCAGGCAGCAGTCTAGCCTTCCTCTGAGGTTGGAGGGAGGACCTTGGTGCTCGAATGATTTTCCCTCTGCATGCCCCATTGCATGTAGAGGGAGCTGAGATAGCTATCTGAGACTAGGGGAGTAATTCAGGTGCCTGAACATAGCCATTGAGCAACATTTCAGATGCCTCAGAGCATCCAAGACAGAGCTGGCAGATGTAAGACCTACAGGAAGTCAATGCCCTTCTTGACAGGTATCCAGGGGCCAGAGAGGGCAGACTAAGGTGCTGGATGCCTACGTTTAGGCATTTGTGGTTTTGGCTATATTTCGCTGGGCTGGTGTTCTGCTGTTATGAGTTGATGCATACACCATGTGGCCAGGCATGCCAGTGACTGTCACACACTTTTCCATTGACTAAAGTCTATGGAACGTATATTTAAATTGTCTTTTTCTCACTTTGCAGCTGTCCAGAAACTTAGTGGCACAGTACGGATAACAAATGTGAAATACTCTCCAGGCTTTAGCAATACAAGCAGTGAGGAATACCAAACCTTTGCACGGCTCTTTGTTGATGAAGTAAGTGGCTATGAAGGATGTGACCTGTTACCAGTCTCAATGAAACCACGTGCATGATCATTTTCCCATGAAGTCTGTATGCCACATGTACATCCCTTTACACACCTGCAAGATCTGAGTCCCCCTGACTGACTGAGACTGCAGGATGTGCATGCAGCAGTGTTTTAGAGTGAGATCAGGATTTGGGGATTCTATGGTGCTCCTATTTCCTCTGCTTCTCATATCTGGTTATACTGGCCGATTGATTTCCTCCAGGGATGTAGTGAAAAATTAATGGATATTTGCAAAGTGCTCTGATAACCTTGCCCTGCACAGCAGTATATTAATGAACTGTATGATTATTAGCCTTTGTCATAGTACCTTAAGGCTCACATTTCTTATAATCATCCTTGGTTTTGTAGCCCCGTATCAGGAAAGGGAGTGGTTTATTGATAAGTCACCTCTGCCCTCACTTCTAATTAGACCACAGGATATCAAAGCACACTGCAATATCAGCAGCGCCTTTAACGTTCTCACAATTCTCAGACATTGCCTTTGACAGTATTACTCTCCTAATTTCTTAATGAATTTATCAGAAGTTTGTTCCTGATGATGTTTACTCAAACACACCTGTGCTTGGAAAACTGCTGGTTGTGCTGAGCTGCTTTATTGCCTTCCTTATCTCCCCTTAAGTGTTCATGTGTTTAGAAGCCTTGATAACTGTGATGATAACTCCTTCTCTGATAATCGCATGAATTTTCAAATCCTGCAGAGGCACCCCCAAACTCTCACTGCACGCAGAGTCACAACCTGTCACTGAAGTACAGCTGTCCACAGTGGGTGCGCTGACAACGACATCTGTTTGGGCAGAGGTCAGGCCAGCATGGAGTTAGAGACAACTGCAAGGAGGGAAAAGCGTGATCTGTTTCCCTGTGCTTGATGTTTTCTTGGATATCAAAGAAGTTTCCCACTGGTTGTTACCGGTTTGCACCTTTCTCAGTGTGCTAGCGAAACATAGCTTTCTTGGAGTTGTTTTGACCCCAAGCTGTCACATCAGACAAGCTGTCACAAAATGAGAGTGATGTGATTAGCAAAGTGAAAAGGGAACAATTCTCCTCTGACCTCACTCTCATTCAGCATGATTCTTTGCCCAAGGCTATTTGGGAATAGCGTAGTATTAAAATGGACTGAAATGGGTGTATTTTCTTCATGGGCTATACAGTCAGATAACTTAATCCAGAAAATCATTGATCCAAATATGTTTGGAAAATTTGTAAAATGATTAGGAATTTGTAAAATAAAGGAATTGAAGTAGGTTTTTGTGTCAGTTTTGTCCACTTTTCAAAATTTCAGGTAGAAAATGATCACTTGTGATTATAAGGAGCTAACCCCTTTTTTCCAGTGCACTGGTTTTGTGGATCAGCCGGCGAGATGTGTTAGCATTGATTCCATCTACCTCTGAGCCACTGTATATAGGCTATAGTAGCATAGCTACTGTACATGGCAAAATCTGTTGGGAGTGTTTTATTACAAATCTTGTGTTTCTAAATGCCAAGGCAAAGGAAGTTTTGGGAAAAAAAAAAAAGATCTGCTTATTTTCTTTTCAGGTTATAAGGGCCAGCAATTGGTCATTTAAAGTAAGTGAGGGAAGTTTCACAGGCTTTAAAAGCACCATCAGTTTCCGATTAAATAAACTTCACCAGAGATTTTTTTTTTTTTTAAACCTCCTTGGAGTCACCATCTACAGTTCAGAGGATTTATAAATCCCAATGTGTGTAATGTTCTTTAGTGTAGAGCTGCCCCAGCACTTAAGTGCCATGTGGTTAAATTGGCAACAGAGCAAATGGAAATACCATCCTTTAAAAAATGTGTAGATGAGAATGAGGTGAAAACTTGATGTAAGCACTTGCACTGTCATTGTACAGGCTAGTTGCACTGTCCACCTTGCAATGCAACTGAAAAACAGCATAGCTAAGGGTGAAAGAGGGTTTTAGGGTTCTTGGGTTTTGCTCAACCTGTGCAACAGCCAAGAACATCATGGCAGCTAAGGCTTGTCCTCAAGAGAATGAATCAGGAAAACAAAAAGTTTGTACTGAAAATGCATTCACTCACGTGATTAAATTTCTGAGTAGAAAAGGTTCTTTTGAATTTCAGTATCTTAAACTTAACTGATTGAGAAAAGGTGTGAAACTAATAAATGGTATTACCTCATCAAGGTGAGCCCCTCGTTTGGAAGTGACATAGCCTTGTTTGATGTAGCTTAATGCACTTAAAATAATTGCGGTTAAAGCTGTCAATGTGGAATGAGAGTTGGCACAGGGATTAAGGCAGTTTCATTATGCCAGTACAATTTCACCCCTTGTGTTTGAGTTTATCCACAATTTGGGACATCCTTAAAGCTGCTGGTGATGGTGGCTGGGCAGATGAGTGCTCTAGCACCTTCTCTCTGAAGGTGCAGCCAAAGCACAGACAGTGGGGAGGTGTTTTTTTTCTCTTTGAGTGAACAAACAGGCTTCGTGCAGCATTCTGTTCAAATTGATGTACCTTTTACTTACTTATTTCCGGTTTCCAGACTGCCAGTGCATTTTCTGCTCTGCTGGCTATGCAAGCTCCTGTGCAGGTGCCCACAATAGCTCTAATGAGCTGCTGACATTTTGCCTGGGACCTATGGATGGGTGGTCCCAGAAAACCCACCAAACATGTCGCAGCCAGCCATGGGGTGAGGCTGGCTGCCTGAGCATGCCACTTTCCTTTTGTTCAAAAAAACTATTAGTCTTTCCCATCCTGTTAAATGGGTTTTTGTGTGGCTTCAGTCTCGCCCTGAACTTGGACTTTATCTGCCTCCAGGTTTTCTTTTTTGTGTGTTTGTTTTTGTGTGGTTTTTTTTTTGTTTTTGTTTTTGTTTTGTTTTGTTTTTTTTTTCCCCCCTGAACAAGGGACATTCCCTTCCCTCGATTCTGGTGTTAATTTTGCACCCATTTCTTGTGGTCTGGCATTGCTGTTGTGCTTTGTGTGCTACCAGAATTGTAGATACTATGACAGATCCCAAGATAATGTATTTGTCTATTAAGAAAACCTCATACTCAAGGGTATTATATGGTGAATATTTCCTTCTAAAAAGTTCACTCTTTCTTGTCATTTTTCCCAACTCTTCATCAACCATTTTTTTAATAACCTAGGGTGTGGTACCTGTTGTGAAATCACTTCTGGATAAAGGGGTTTGTAGTGTCACCTAGTGGCTAAATACAAATACGGTGAATGTTCCCCTGACACTTCTCAAGCTGAGTCCTGTTTTCCGAAGAAAACTATGAGTATGGACAGAAACAAAACAAAACAAAACAAAACAAAACGACGCAAAAAGTTCCCAAGCCTTAGGTAAAAAGAAGCACTGATAAAATAAAATCTTCAGGAGAGATCAGAAGGGAATACAGGTGAAACTGGGGATGGGCTAAGAGGATGTCACAGGGGGTGTATTTAATGTCCAGAAGTTCAGAGGAAAACTATGAAAGATGGAAACTTAGGGCTGACCTCCAAATTTCTGTTCATGCTTGTGAAACAGCAGAAAGAGAGATGAGAATGGGCCCAAGAGCCCTCTGGCTTGGTGAAATGGGAAATTTTGGGGCTGACAAGGACAGCCTACAATCTACCCTGGCTTTTGTAGGGAAGGTAGCTCTTTCCATCCTCCTGGCTCTGCCTGTGTGCCCCATGGGGCACTGCGAGGTTTGCTGTGTGGGACTTGCAGGTGCGTGGGAGTCCTTTCCAGGGGCATGCAGGGGGCTTGCTCCATGTGTGTTACCTTGCCACCAGGTGCATGCAGCACACATTAGCTCTGACAACTCAGAAAAGGGCTGCAAAATCTGTGCCTGTCTGCAGGGCTGGATAATACATAGTGGGCAAGTAATTTGGGGCTCGATAACACATGGCAGGCAGGTAAGTCAGGCTTGGCACCTAAGTGCACAAGAGCTGTGGTCACCTGGGAGAATCTAGCACAAAATGCACAACCTCTGTGCATTGGTGCAAGAGAAATGAAACTGCTGTTCCTGTCAGCTTCCACCGCTGACCCTTGCTTTGCCTCTTCCCTGGGCTCTCCCTGGTAGGAGTCACTGCCTGCATCCCTAAGCGTACACCACAGACTTAAGTTCTGCCTTAAACTCATGGCTGAAATCCAGTGCTGCTGCTCCAGATATTTCCTGCAGAAGACGTGTAGAGGAAGGAAGGGGTTGGAGGTGACTGCAATGTAGCCCCTGCTTGCCCCCTTAATTCTTCTGGAAGGTTTTGCTAGGGGAGGAAGTGGGTGATGTACCCTAAAGAGAGACCCTAAAGTAGAGCAAGGTGCTGGAAAGGAGATGTGACTCTCCTGTGCAGGGCAGCAAACACTTAGCTCTCACCTGGGCCAAGTGCTGCTCACCGGGCCCTTATGGTGGGGTTGCTTTGCTGCTCTATGCCTTCCTCTCTGCTGATATCTCCTGGCAACCTGACTGCCATGGGAGGGTGAAGGTAAAGAGCAAGTATGCTGCAAAATCACAAAAAATATTTCTGTGGCTGTTTCCATCTCTGTGTCCTGCTTTGAAGCTAGTGGCTGCTATGTACAAGGAAGTTATATGTATCCCAGGCTCGGGAGGCTTGACAGGGATGGCATGGGATTTGTCCTTCCCGTGCTGCTGGGAGCTGCTCTCTTACTGTGAGCAGCCTCCTGTTGCACTCTTGCTGGCAGTTTCTAAGTGCAGTTGTAATACCAATACCTCAGAAGAGCCTGTTCTGCCTGCCTGATGCAAGCTTGCAAGTTATGTCTCACACTTTCTGTTGCTGCGCTTTTTATTTGCAAGTATGCAAGAACATAAAAAGACTTCCCAGATAGATGTGAAAGACACTAAGAAACATAGAAGATCCGTGAGCATTTTCTGGAGAAAGGGAGAGCAGAAAATATACAATTCTAATGGGAAAATTTGCAACATTGTTGGACGGCATTACTCAGCTTGTGCTTACCCTGGCATCTGGTCTTCAGGTATGCGGTCTGCCTGCTTTGTGTTCAGATGTTGGGGCAAGACCTGGCATGCAGACCTGTGTTGTGTGAGAGTGTGTGTGTGTGAGTGTCCTGCTTTCCCTTGGTACATGCATGTAGGTAGGGAGTCCAGTGCAGTCTTATTGGGCTCCTTGTCTGGGCGACTAGAGAAGAAAAGGAGTGAGGGGAGCACTTGTGGATGTTTACCAGTTTCTCTTTGTGGTGAGTTTCTTAGAAATAAGTTTGTATTTCTGTTATAATATTTTCTCAACATGTTCTTTAAAGCTGAATTAATATTAGCCTTGTGTCTTGTCTGGGTTTAGTCCCGTGAGATGATGCCATTTGACCTGTTTCTGCTCCTCCTATGGCTGGTGCTGGGCCTGGAGATGAAGGGGAAAGGTGCTGGAAGTGCAAAAGCTGCTCTACGTCCCCTCCAGGCTCCTGCATATGCCCACGTACCTTGCACAACAGACTGCCCTCCTGTGGAAGGAGGAGATGTTCCCATGGGCAGCTGCGCTTTCAAGGGCCTTGGAGGGTGGAAAGGGAAGAGGTCGAATATACAGCTCCAATCTGTTAATCTTTTCAAGAGGAGTTGGTGCTTCCATCTGAGCTGGACAGCGGGGAGGTTGAGCAGCCTGGGTGATGCAAAGGCTCACACAGGGCTGTGTTTTCCCATCCCACAGAAAGCAGGTCATCCTACTCAGCAGTGTGGTAAAGGATGCTGCTTCAGGGGCTATCGTGAACAAGGCTCAGTGTGCTTTGAAAAAAGTGGCATTTTCTTTCTTAGGCTGCTATTGAAGTCCAAGGTCCCTGTGTACAGAATGTGAATGTTTATTTTATTGATTTCTCTAGACTGCCCTAAATTCAGCTGATTGGTGATTTGGTGCTGCAATACTTTGAAGGTGACTGTTTCCATTCAAAATATGCAGAGACATTTCCTAGCCCTGCTCTTGGACTCTTGGGCAGGACTGTGAGTTGGGGCTGTGTGCACCAATGACAGGCAGATTTTGCAGAAATAATATGATACTCCTCAGGGAAGACTTTAATGAAATAATTCTGAAATAAAATTGAAGACTGACTTGATGGGAGGTTGTGTGGCAGTGCTGATGGCATGAAACATCCTTCTGTTTTCTTTAGCCTGGTACAGGCATTTAAAAAGAGACAGGTTTACACTCAATGATAAGCAGGAGAATTTTGCTTGTTAACTTGGCTCTGATGAGGAAACCACCTGTGAAGAAAGGCTTGAGGGTGGTCTGCTCTAAGCCATAACATGCCTGAGCTGAGGGAGCTCTCTGAGATGTATACGCAGTGTGGAGTGTCAGGAGGCATGTCCACTTCCATTGGCAGCTCCTCTTCATACTGAGTTTCTCCCTTTCCTGGGGGGGAATTCTGAGAGGCAGAACATGGGAGCTTCCCTGCAGGCTCCTCCCTTTCTTGCTGTTACCAGAGGCAAGGGCTTGTGCCAAATGAAAGGTGAGGTATCTTCATTGCTTAGCCTGTTTAATATTCACAGTTAAATATATACCATATCCTTCAGCTGCTGTAGAGTGGAAACGTTATAAAGCAAAAAGTCAACTCTCTGCTGCTTCCCTCCAGAGTATGAAGCACAACTGTAACGCATAATACTCTCTTCTGGGTACAAAGCCTAAAATGTAATTGCTTCTATCTGTCCATCTTCACATGCCTTTTGTTTTCATTCCAGGTACATAAATCTCTGCCCCTTGAGTTTCTTCAGCAGATGGATGCTGGTCTGATTAAAATGTTGATAACGGGTATTACTAATGGGAGCACAGTGGTAAGTTTCAACTTAGTGATTGCAGAAGATGTGGATATCTACTACATCATCACCACTTTTCATGATGCCTTTGAACACAGCTCCTATTTCACAGTTGACAAGAGCAGTCTCTCCATAAATGGTAAGGAGCAGCTTGTATCCAAATAGTTCTTCAGAACTAGAAAGATGATAAAGCCTATTATTCTGTATTTTTTGAGGTGAAAGTATCTGTAAAACAGATGGATAAAAAGCCATTTTTTCTCCTTATATTGCTCCTGCTTATCCATCCAATAAGCTTTTCCAGAGAACATCAAAAGATGAAATAAGAAGTGAGGTACTCCTGATCCAAAAGGACAAAACCACCTCATCTTTTGTCTATAGCTAGCATTAATCTTATAGAGAAAAAGATACAGAGATGATAGAAATAGTGGTCACAAATTGAGGGTCTTGTAAGTGGAAACAGGTCCCTGTACACAGACATAACTAGCTCTGTTTAAAATAATTTTGAAACACATTACCCTCTGCTTTGCACTGATAGTTGTGCCTGTGGTAGAAACCACAAGAAACAAATAAATGAATGTGTGAATTCTGCACCGGGAGTATGTGTTTTCCTCACACACCTGTGGGTCGGGAGTTCAAATGAAAAATCCACGCCTTGCCAAGATCAGCACAATGGCTTACTGTACAACTTCTTTCCCTTTATGTGTAATTGAAGTGATTAAAAAGAAATATTAGTCTCCTGGCTAACTGCTGTTGAATTCTGTTTCACAAGTTGATGAGTCATCTCTGGAAAAAATAGCAAGTTCTATATCCTTAACATGATATGTTTGTCCAAATAATATTGCTACAAGCTGTCAATTAGAATCTCATACAAAATTACTTCAGAAGCATGTATATGGTCTGTGCTGTACACTCTCTTTGCCTATTATCCTTACAGCTGTGAATCTGGAAAGTAAGATCATGACTATCTTGTGGTAGTACTTTGTGGAGTGCCTGCCCCCCTTTGAAGCTGTGCTAAAACAAATGGTTTGTTTCAGGGACAGGTCCCTATAGAGTAAGCAGTTAGTGCTGTTGAGTCTCACCTGTGGTTGTTATGTCCTTATTTGCACAGTTGCAATTAGATCTTGGCAAGAGAAAGGGAAGTAAAGCATATTTTTCCTTTCAAAAGTGAAAATTTTGGCCAGGTAGCAATTAGGAAAGCAACTAGACTGCAACTTGGACCAATCACACAAACCTGCTTCACTCATGCTGGGCATTTACTAAACATCTCCTCAGGAGGGTGGAATGGGGGAGAGAGCTAAGGAAGCCCCCAGGGTTAGAAGCATCCTCTTGGGCTGTCGATCAGTTTAGGAGGATAGGAATTCTGCAGCAGGGTGCCTACATTTTAGTGAGTATCTGCTGAGCATCACTGGTAGCACAGCTCCTGGAGGGTTTTGTCAGTGCCTTGCAATTAGCCCTCTAGTCTGTGCTCCCAGTATCCCACCTCTTCTAGATTCAGCAGCTGCCTGACACGTACAGTAGAGTATCACACCTGAGAGGTGTAATCCCATGATATCATGATAATAGGACTGTGTTCCAGTTTTAGAACCATCACATTTTCATTTGTATGCTTGCCACCTTTACCTTTTGCTTAAATATACCCAACAGATTATGATGAGTGCAAAAGCGAAGATGATGACTGTTCCCCAGATGCATCGTGCCATAACACACTTGGGTTTTACCAGTGCAGCTGCAATGAAGGATTTGCTGATGTGCATCCAGAAAGGCCTGGAAGAAGCTGTGAAGGCAAAAAAAAAATTTATTATCTCATATCTAACTGAATGCTTAGTCATCTGATCTTTATTGGATTATGGTTATACTTGCCACAGGTCTTGACATTTTGCTAGGCATTAATTTTGCTCATTGTTTTCAGCTGGATCCTAATGGGAAAAGTCTTGCAGGAGACTTTAAATGTTTCTGACTAACACTTTGTCACGAGAGTTTACTATATTAATATTTAATGCTGTCTTTGTAAGGTTCTTTTGACAGTTCAGTTTTCTTATATTTGCCATTAAAATTAGATAGGATTGTCAAGACTGTTAGTTATTTTCATTAGCAGTCACAGAGGGGACAGCAGAGATAGCAGAGAAGGAAACAGAAAGCACTAGGAATGTGGTTTGACGTCTATATGGCAGCAGGGATTAAATGTTGGTATTACAAACTACTTTTTTGTATAAGTCAACTTATCTATCTTCTCTCTTTCATTAAATCACCTGTTAGGTGATGTATGATGGGTTTTTAAGCTCCTAAATTCTTTTATGCTTCTTTAGTAATTTCTATTTGTTTTTGTAACCACAATGATTAGCTACTCTTTGTCTGAAGTCACAAGGATTTGTCAACTGATACCAACCTTTGCTTAGTTTCGTTTAACCAAGGTATTTAGCATTATGGTGGTGAGCTTTTGGGTAATTCAATTCTGAAAGAGCTCAGACTTTTATTTTTCTTCCTCTTATGTTCAAATCAGCAACTTTTTAATTTGGGGCATTTCTGAAAAGTGGGGAGTTCCAGAAGGAGATATATATATATATGTACACATTTTATAAGTTGCTTTGGGAAATAGATGGTATTTGTATGTACAAACCATTAAAACTGTTTAAGAGAATTTTTGTGCAATGAGACACATCCTTTGTGTTTCACTGCAAATGGCATTTATTATCATGGTGATCTCTAAGTCAGAGGTGGATGAATACTTAGGTGGTTTCTACCAGCAAAGAGTGATGGAGTAACCTCAGAGCCTGTGATGGATGTTGAGCGTTTGACATACACATTTGTCTCAACCTGTGCTTCCCCTTTTCCCCTGCTTGCTTTCTTCCTGAAACCATTAAAGATTGCTACTAACACTTCTGTTCAACTCCCCACTGTGTCTTTCAGGACACATATGTGCAATGTGAGCCTGCTACATGAGGTTTGTCCTGCACTCCCTCCAGAATGGGTTTTCCAGAGTGGTCAGGGTCATATCTTTGGGTACCAACTGGTCATGAGTGGGGCCAGGTTTTTTAACAAACTCTACTCCTGTTTATACTCAACATCCAGAAGTATGCAGTCTCCTAAAATACCAGGCAAAAAAAACCCAAAAAACCCAAACCAAACCAAAAAACATTTGCTGAGCAACTTAGAGCTTGGGGATCTCTTTCAAGCACTGATCTTCCAAAAGCTCTATATACATGTTTTACTTGAGAACACTAATTATTGCAGCTCTCAGGAAATAAAGGACTTCAGCTTTACTCACAGTCGCGTTATGTATCTCTTGAGCTCTTTCTTAAAAAAAAAGCCACAGCTTTGTCAGCAAGTAGAGTGGGTTAAAAAAACAAAAGAAGCTAGTTTCCTTCCAGTAACTGTGAGTTTCCTCCTAAGGGTTTGCTCTTACCTTATAAAACCAACTCGAATCTGCAAATTACAATGGTACCTTTATTTTTGTCACTTTTCAGCACTTCCTATAGGCCAGGAGGCAACACTGATGGATAAGAGATCTGTACACAACACAGTTTTACTTGCAGCATCTTTGCAAACTTCGACTCATGTTTCCTCCCCTGCTTCATTGGACTTCTCTGTTGCTGAGCACAAAGCACTGGAGAACACCACATTTGCCAGCATGGTGCTGCCTCTTCTCACCGCGGATCCTGTGTCAGCTCCCGGTGTTTCTCCTCAAGCATCTCCTATCCCTCTCGTTAAACCTGCCCAGGAGGTTTCCATTAAAGATGTGGTGACAGTGTTCTGTGAAATCGAGAAGATCATCCTTGCTGTTGAGAAGAGATTTTTACAGCAGGAGTCTATCCCAGAAACCTCCCTGTACCTGGGGGAGCCTCACTGCAATGTGAGCATCAGCAATGGCACTCACGTTGTGCTGCAGGCAGGCTGGAGCGACTGTGGCACTGAAGTTGAGACTGTAAGTCCCCTGAGCCGGTGAATGCAAAGAAGCCCCAGAACAATTTCTTTTGTTCTTGGGGGTTGGGTGAGGAGGGCAGCAATGGCAGGTCCTTAGCTGGGAGTACAGTCTATTAGTTGCTGAAATGCTGGACAAGAGCTTCTCCAAACTGAAGTCACTTCCCATGTCTCTCTGGGTTCCCTCTGCAGCTTTCACAAGTGTCTCTTTTCTTAAAAGCAATTTAACTATCATATTTAGACAAATACCCCAATTACTGCCAGTAATGGGGACAGAGAGTCATGGCTATCTCTTTGAATCCCAAATGAAACGCTATGCTCAGGCCATGCCAAAATACAGAAATTCCCTTGTGGAGCAGACTGAGGAAGAGGAGGAAGGCTGGTGGATTTTCATTGCCTCACTGTACAGCAAATAAGATCCTAGAGGTTTATTCTGTTTGATTTTTGCGTCCAGAAGAATGGAGAATTCCTAAGCACTTGAGGCCCTGTAGCTCTGTTATATCCCTAGATACACTGTTGTTCACAAGTTGTGCTTTCTTCTTTCTGTGTTCCAGAACATGACTAATACGGTAGTGAAAACCATCCTTCGGAATTACGTTTCTCCTCAGGGAGTAATCCACCATTTAAAAGTTGTCAGTCCCATTCACTGTCTGTTTCAAAACGATCTCTTGACTTCCTCTGGATACACTGCAGAAAGGTAAGTAGCAGCTCTCTCTGCTTTGAAATGCTCTTGTGTGGCTTAACACAGTTGCATCAGAAAAGTCCCCAGGGACCTTAGCTGTATCCAATGACAGTACTTGCTATGCCAAGTAGTCTGCCATCCTGTGAGACTTGTGCCCAGGTGATTCCTGCTATCTAGTGTGTTAATAGATTCAACAGCCAAAAAGCTTGGCCATTGCCTGGCTAAACCATACATGAAAATAAACCTTTGGGAGCTACTGGTGCAGGTTCAGGAGACAGAATTCATTACTTCTCTTTGCCTTGCTGGGCAATCACATGTAGCAATAACAGTATTTTCCTGCTTTTGAAACATAACAATGATGCATCTTTCAACTGATGCAGTCATGCAGACTGCTATGTGGGTGCTGAGGATGGCAATTTTTAACTCCCACAAATCCTTATTTGATCAACTTGGAAAAAGGAGAAGTTATGTAATGCAAATGCTTTTTTATGGAAGGCCTCATCTTCAACTAAGATGGAATCAAATCCACTGTTCACAGAAAAGGTGGCAGCACAAGCTTTGCTCTGATGGTGAATGTTCTCTCTTCACACAAGTGCACCTCCTCTCTCTTGCCTAGCACCATAGAATCCTAGAATCATAGAATGGTTTGGGTTGGAAAGGACCTTAAAGATCACCTAGTTCCAACCCCCCTGCCATGGGCAGGGACAGCCTCCACTAGACCCGGTTTCTCAAAGCCCCATCCAGCCTGGCCTTGAACGCCTCCAGGGATGGGGCATCCACCACTTCTCTGGGCAACCACCAGTGCCTCACCACCCTCATAGTAAAAATCTTCCTCTTAGTATCCCATCTAAATCTAGCATGTTTAAACTATCATCACCAAATACACTTTCTGTTTCCTAACCTCCCAGACATTGTATTTTCCTTTCTGTTCCCCCACAAAGTCTTTGTCAGGCCCGTTCTCTCTGAGCTCTATAATTTTCTCATGTCCCTCACTTACTGTTCAGATTTGTCTCTTCTCCTTAATTTTTTTTTTTTTTTTGGCTCTTCTCTTCTTCACTAAGCTTCTACTCTCCTTATTTCAAAATTTAAGGCAGCTCATAGTCTTCTTCTCCATTAGCTCCACTCAAATATATCTCTCTGCTCTATTTGTATTGACAAGACATTCCACCCTTTGGATTTTCCCACTGATGTTTCTGTGCTCCCTACTTTCCCAACTGAAAACCCTTTTCACCCTTTCTTGAACTGCAGATAACTCTTCACTACTTAAATATACAAGAGGTGGAGAAGCACGCAGTGATTTACGGAAACAGACAGTCAAATCTGTCAATTGTTGTTAATTGTTATTTCAGACTTTACACCATCTTTGAGGATTTGCATGGATCTGGACACTTCAGAACAGAAATGCAGTTGTTTATTGGAAACTCCCCAATACCAAAAAATTTCAGTGTCTCTGCCAGTGACGATGTACTGATTGAAGTGGGGATCCAGAGAGCAGACAGCAAGCTCAAGGTGGTCCTCACTGACTGCTGGGCAACTCCCACTAATAATTCAGTGGACCCCCTCTCATTTGCTTTTATCAGCAACAGGTACACCAATGCCACTTACAAATAGTATGTGCCGTACTTTAGATCTTCCAGTGGCACTGACTACTAATGTGTTATATTTTAAATGCCTTTTGTGTGTGTTGTCACCATTCATATACACTGTCACCATTCTGACTGGTCACACCTTCAAACAAGGAAGGTAAGTATGAAAAGAAAACGTTTTCAAAGGGTAATGTAGTAGTTGTTTGAGTTTGGTTGTCTTCCCCATTGTTTTGTAAAGGAATTATACTTTTGACCTGAAGAAATAGGTGGTTTTGGTAGTAAGTAGTGAAAGAACATTGAAAAGTGTGTGCTTTATCTATTTCTCTGTGCTTCAGATATTACCAAGAGCTTGTATGACTCTCATCAATGAAAGTGTAGGTTAGTTGATTCCTATGTGTTGTGACTCACCGAAAATATTCGTGGAGCCTCTGGTAGGAGAGGAGGTTTGTTCCTGTCTGTACCCCTGATCTCACCCTGATGTCATATTCCCTGGGCTTACCCGCCACCCTAAAATACAGGATAGTCCTTTTGCTCAGCAATACAAATGCTATTCATTTTAATATGATGTTCTTTCACTTTGTATTTGGTGAAGCCAAGTTTATATCCTTTCTGTCACTATTTCCAACTCTCCAACCACTTCTCGAATCTCCTGTTCCATTTGGATACTGTGAGAATACAGCAGCAAATAGCCCGTTATCACCCCGGCACTGCTGCAGAGTCACTTCATGGCAGGTCTGGCTGTAGCTTTCTAAACAAGCCTTGCGACCTGAGTTATGTGCTATAACCACAACATGCCTTCTATAGCTGTAGCCACTGTGTATGTTTTTTCTCTTCCTTTTCAGCTGTCCCATCCCAAATACGTACACCACACTGCTAGAGAATGGGAATTCAAGCAAAGCGCAGTTTAAGATGAAAATTTTTTCCTTTGTCAACAATTCTGTGGTCTATCTACACTGCAAAATACGTATTTGTATGGAGACACCAGGAAGCACCTGTAGGACGGTACGTGTTTTCCTCTGATATGCTATTTTTCTCTAATGTGTCATATGCAGTCCTGCTATGGAATTGAAGGAGTTTCCTTCATTCTCTGCTGAGAGCAGAGAGGAGTGGGGAAGAACTACAACCACTTGGAAGTGTCCACCTTTCTTCCTGTTCCTCATCCTTGTAGTTAAAGGCATGCAGCTTGCACAGAAGTGGGTGTCAAAATTGAGGTACCTGAGAACTGAACCTTTCACCCCTGCCTACTGGTGGCTAGAAGGCAATGCATAGATGTTACAATGAGATAGGCTGTTCAGAAACCTGTCAGCTCAGATGGACATGTCACAGGAAAGCGAGCACCCATATTGTCAGTCAGGAGGAAAGTCTGAGTAAATGTTTTTCTGTCCTTTTTTCCCCCCTAGAGATCTGCTTGTCCAGGTCAGAGTTTAGGTGCCAGGAAGGGAAGCTCGGTGGCATTAAGTTTCTGGGGTTGTGACTTCATAAGAGGGTTTATTATGGCTTTTTGAAACCCCTTTGCTTTTTAAAGCAATAAACCAAGCAATGTTCTGATACCAACTTTAGTTTCTAATTGTCTGTGCTCCAAAGCATTGCTTTGTTTCTTTTTACTTCTGAGTAAGTGATACACACTTCTTCATCTGAAAATGTATGGCTACCATAGAAATAAGAAAAAACAGGTTTTGTTGATTTTTTTTTTTCTTTATAGCAGACACACAGGAATTCTCCTCTCCCTCTGCCGACCTTCCTGGCTCTTTTTCTAACAAGGATGTTTTCATTATCAGTTTAGTGTTCCTCCGTTGTTTAACACTTTCTTCTAGCTCTAAATAACTCAGTTTAAGCCCCATTATAAAGCAAACGATCTCTTCCTAAAAGATTAAAAATGGGTATCAGAAGATACTTTTTTCCTTTCTCAAAGTATAAAGCTTCCTCCTTTAAAAAAAAAAAAAGTAGGGACAGGAAACATGACTGACAGATGGAAAGATGGCTCCCATTTTCACAGCTGAATTAGTGTGTTAAAAATCAGTGCTTCGGCAACCCCCAGCCTATGACCTCCTTCGGAGGAGGTGGTGCCCTCCCCAAGTTCGCCATGTGTCCTGTACAGCTGAGGAGGGACAGGGTGGTAGGTGCAAGGCAGGGGAATGAGAGGGATGGACAGGACAGGCGCTGTGTGGGCTGGTGTGGCTGCTGTAAGGAATCAAACAGTTGCTTTGCTAGGAGCCTCTGGGTTTGCTGTTAGAGCAGGATTTAGCTGTATGGGTTAGAGTTTAGGAATACCGTTAACTAAAGGGCTGGCTTTGATCTGAGTTACAAGGGTAATTCTGCTACCCCTAGGTGAGGCTTGATTGAGATTGACATCTACAGTAAACAAGACACAGCAGAGTTAATCAGTGAAGCCCTCTTCTTTAATATATTCTATATTATTAGTTTATATATTATTCATATGTATATATATGAGATTTATTGTTCTTTCTCCCATACAAATTGTATCCCCTATGAAAAGTTAGTTAATTCAGTATCTTAGACTGACATTAAAATATTGTGTGGAGAAGACCAGTACTAGGCACATCTACAAAGGATGACAATGGCTTTTACAAAGAAGAGAGGGGGAGCTGCAGGAGATGCAAAGATCAAGGAAAATTCGAGCAAGAACAGAGTATATTTGGAAATAATGTAAGATGGCTGGGAAAGTGCCCAGGGATCTGATCCTCTGATATGTCTTCTACTCTGGAGAATATTAACTTGCTTCAGGGCAGATTTGCTTCAGCTCTTTGCCTGAAAAAATGAGGTTTACGTCTTGTATTATTTTATCTTACCCGGTCTTTTTATTCCTTGTTTTCTTGGTGGAAGAGAGTAAGGTGCTCTAAAGTTTAGAGGCTGGGGAGCAACATAATAAGAAATGATATGAAACATGACTTTGAATGGGAAAAGGAATGATGTGCCACCACTATGCATATATTTGGTGGAACGTGGCTGCTCCATGGCCACATGGAACCAAAAAATCATTGACTTCAAAGGAGCAGTTATGTAACCATATTCTCTAATGGATCCACCTAGCTGTGAAAGCTGTTCAAGGGTAGGCCAAAGCTGTAGCTATACCGGTATTTTTCTGGGGGCTGACCCAGCTAAAGACAATGTCGCTGACAGTGGATTGTAGAGGTTTTTCTGTGTAACCAGACCAGTAACACTGGTGAGACATTCTTGTATAGACAGGACGGTAAGCACTTCCCTGCTTTCTTTTGCTGATTGTAGTATGGTACTGCAGTTTATCTGTTTTTGTGTGCACTTCCAGGACAGCCACGGTGTCTTTTGAATAAGTCAACAGGCTAGAGTTCCCATCAGAGACCTTTTGGTTGCAACTTAAAGAGGTATTGAACAAACTGAACAGTGCTACTGAGGAAGCATGCAAAAGACAAGTGTGCCGTGTATTCTGCAAGTGCTGCTCACACAAAGCTAAAGTAGCTAATCCTCAACATCTCACAGGGTGGAGCTTTCAAACTAGTAGTTCTCAGACTAGTAGTTCACATGTCACTGAAGAGTTGTGCATTGCTTCAAATGACACACAGTTTGGCAGGGGCTGAAAGTTGTCGCTGCTTTTGCTGGTGCTGGTTGTGGTATATGCTGTGTCTGCCATGGCCAGCAGAAACATACAAAAAAAAAAAAAAAGTTTGCAACACCCTGGCATATAGAAATAGCGAGAAGTTTATTGTCCTATAAGGTTTATCTAAAACAAACAAAGTTAATGAAAAGAAAGAGATTGCTTGTGTGAAATGTCTGTTCACAGCAGTGTTTTCCCGTGTGACTAATTACAGATTTTATATTGATGTTTCCTTAATGCTGTTTCTTTTGAACTTCCATTTGGTGCTCATTTCAGTTTAACAAAGCATAACATTAAGAAACAAAAACCCCAATGAGTAAGAATAGCACTGGGTGTTCCCATACTCATCAGAAGGCTTTGTATTTTTAATTATTAAGCCATACTACTTGTTGGAGTTTGAATTGATTGTTGCAGAGGTGCCATGTGGTTCGATCCCTGAAGACTGGTGAAACCATCGCTACGCACAGAACATCCTGGGGACCCCTGTATAAATCAGCTGGTGAGTTATGAATAGAGGCTTATGAAAAGGGGACACAGAGTAACCACTATTTTAAAATCATTTTTCACTGGCCAAAGAACCTGAAGACCTGTGATACACAGTTTTCATGCCCCTCTGCATATTTTTCTGAGGCGTGGGCGTTCTTACAGAAGCCATGTGGCAATGTGGAAAAGCATGTGCCCTCCTGGGTGAAGTGACTGGCAGATTGTCAAGGGAATGTAGAAAGGGAGAGGATAAAGTGCTTCATGTAGCTATTTGCACAGGGTAACAAGTACAACAGCCACAAAATCAGACAGTTACTACAATTGTAAAGTGTGAAAGCAGCTTGAGTCTTTTAGACTGCAATCGGTTTTTCAAGTGTTTACTCTACACTGATGTAAGACCGCAATTATATTGAGCTCTGAAGTCCAAAATCAGAAGAGATAAGAGACTGCATTTCCATGTTTCCTTAAACTCCCTGGTGTTGACTTTGTTACTACTGTGAGAGAAGGTAGCAGAGCACAGCTGATGCACAGCACCTTCGTTAATCTTGTGGAGTGGCACAGTACAGGCTAATAGAGAGCGAATGCCAGCATTGTATACAACCAAGGTCTAATTTGTTACACAACTGCTTCTTCTGCATTTACCCTGAGTGAAGTTTTCAAGGGCACCTGTGGTCTCTAACATCTTCAATCATCTGGCCTTCTCCATCCATTTGCATTCATATCTTATTAGTGTAGAACACTCTGAGAGTATTTTTACACAGCAATATCAGAGTTTTAACACATGGCTACTGTGAACAGACAGATGTCACCCCCTTTCCTCCTGCTGGTTGCCTGTTTTGCCAGTCACTTAATGCTCTTCTGACTGTGGAGATAAGTTAATGATGGACTGATAGTGGGTTCAGGGTATTTTTTTCTCCTTTGCTGTGATGGTCACGATGTCCTTTTGGACCTAGAAACTGGCTCTGACTTAGCATATTCTATTTTTCTTCCATTATAGGCAAGTATTAGTCTGTTGGAATAGTCCTTCAGTGTTCACTCATGAATTATTTATTTTTTTAAAACTTAGCAATTAATACAGCTTTCTTTGTACAGCACTTACATCAAGTAGATCTCACTCCCATTTTCACTGGAGATCCCAATGCATTTCTAATATTGAAAAATGGTCATTACACAAAAGGAACTCTGGTGTGGAGAGCTTTATTTAAGTTGTACTACATCGATTCCTAGGCAAAAGTGGCACTTTTGAGGTGTTGTCTCCCATTTCCAACTTGAATACTCACACTGCATTTTAAGTGTGACCCTAGACCTAGACAGTGATATGCATCTCTCTGTTGAAGAGGACAACATGAATTATGATGTCAGGTAAGCTGCTGCAGTGAAACACAGAAAAAGCTTTAACTGCTCTTCCTGTACTGCTTGGCCACATGCCATAGCAAAGACCACTGATACATGTCCTCAGGAAGGACTGCATCTGGCTATAGACTGCCATTTCCACTGTGCATTTTCTTTTTTATTCCTTTGTTTTATACTAAAATTCAGCAATAAGCCTACGTAATATCCATGCCACCATTCCAAGGCAGACCAAAGCAGTATTGCATAATATATATCAGATAGAAGCAAATCAAGTGGCTTTTAATAATCAGAGATGAATGGGGGCAGGATTAAGATGGGAGAATGCTTCAACTCTGGGGTCATTCTGAAAGTAAGGCAGCATTTCAGAAAGTCACCGGTGCTGATCTTTTAATTCTTACTGTAACAGAAAATGGTAGGGTCAAATTCCAAAAACACATCACACTCATGTCTGCAGGGACTCTACACTTATATGTAAAAAGAGAACTTGGACTGTGGATCACAGACCTTTCCATGAGAATCACCCTTCCCAAAAAGTTTATCCACTTCTATGTCACAGCTCTGTGCTTCAAAATGCCCATCGGCTAACTTGTACCAGGGTTGGTTTCTTACTCCAGGAAAAGATTTAGGAATTTCAAAGCTTTTTTCTTTTACCTCTTGTTTGTTTTAGCATCAGATTTGAAGAGAGAGAAGGAGTCTGGGATGGGAGTTGGATACATCATCCTCATTGCCTTTGCTGTGTTTGGTTTTGTGCTGGGAGTTGTGAGCCTTCTCATTTTCCAGTACCAGCGAAAGATGGGAAGATACAACTTCAGAATCAAGTCTGACAACTTCAGCTACCAAGTGTTCTACAATTAGTGATTTCCAGGTTATCAATGTCAGTACTGAATCATCATCAGTTACTTTTCTTTTTTTTTTGCTTTTTAGCTTTTCCTGAAATAGTTAAATACTTGTAGATGAGCATCTGCTGTTCAAGGGTATTTGAACATCCTGTCCTGTTTTCTGTGGATGGAGGTCATAGAAGGAAGAGTGAAATTCTTACTACTCTTGCCTGTTTTCAAATGCTACAGACTACGGAGGAGGAAGACAGCCTTCTCTTCCTCATCGTCCTTTAGTCTCAGTCAGAGCAAATGACACATCACTTTAGAAAAACACCAACAACCATTTCCACAAAAAGTTTATAACTTATATAACTTTTGGTTTTGGATCATAGATCAGTATAATAAAAGAGAGAAGCTTTATGACTCTCTTTATAGATCTGCTTCAGAAGCTAATTTGCTTCAGAAATTATGACTTTCTGCAAAAGCTTGCATTTAATTTTATTTTGTGAGGGGGTGTGTTTTTCAAGAAAATAGTGGGATGTTATACACAAAGAGCTTGAAATATTGCTTATGCATAAGCAGTGCTTACAAGTGCCTGCACAGAGTCTGAAAAGACAGATCTGAGGAGTGTTAACCACTACAACATGTTCTGCCTCTGCAACTTGGGAATTTAACACTTTTCCAGAATGCCATGGGATTTAGCACTTTTTCTGTAAAATGAGTGCGTTCTAGCTGCTCACCTCTGTTTGTATGTTTATCCCTTTAAGAGCAGTAGAGACAGGTGAGAAAGCTGGCTTGCTGAAAAAGGATACCTAACATTGCTTCACAGCTCAAGGATGTTTACTTCGGATCTGATCAAATTCTGTTCCTAGGAACAGGCTTATTTAACATTGTCACCAGAGTTAGTAACTCTTTCCTGATGGAGGCTTCGTAAGTGACGATGCAGATGCCATGATCACAGTGCATTCATTAGACTCATCATGATAATATTCACAGATAATTTAGTTTGCTTCACTCAGTACAATAGCTCTTAACATATATCACAAAGAAAGCACAGGGAAGATTTTATCCCAGCTACCTGCTTCTAAACTCTTGAATAGTCACTATTAGCTCTATTTCCCCTAGTCTTACGTTGCAGAGACCACCCTCTGTAGTCACCTATGGGCAGCTCCTGAGAGATCACTGTAGGTGAGGGTGATGCTCTGACTGCTTCCTAAAGGATGGGTGGAGCTGCCTGTTGGGAGCCCAAAGGGAAGGTACCTGCGACTCCTTGATACAGCTCCAGCAGCTGCACAGTTCCATCAGTGATACAGGTCCCACTAGGCAGCCATAATCCCGTGTAAAGGGCATATCTAGGTCCATTAAATTAACACCTGTACATGAAGCCTCTGAGTCTCTCCATAGAGAGAAGAATGTAATTTCTTCATTCATCATTCTGCTCTTGTGAGTGGTCATGAGTGATTGCAATACTTTGTTAGTAATGGGAATTCTGGAGTTGTGCAATGAGGTTGTAGCATAAAGGATATTATCAGGCTCATAATGCTTACACATAATCAGCAGTGTTGGAGTATCAGCTAACAGCTCCTTTTAGATGCTGGAACTACTCAGCTCTTTCCTATGTATTTCCTTTCTTTGGAAGGTAGTTGATTACCTTTCTCAATCATGATTAGGTTTTTTTTTTTCATTTTTTCTAGTTGGATCATGTCTCATCACATGCATAACTGAAGCTTGTCTTCACTCAGCATTCATTACTCTTCACTATGGTGGTCATGACTGGTTGCAACACTGACTTCTCCAAATAAAAGTCACATATAAAAGGCTTCTGTATCCCCTTTTTTAATTTTTTTTTTTTAATTTAAACAATCTGGGCCTTCCCTGGTGTCCTAAGAATGATTTGTGACTGCAGCTCTAGGCTGAAGTGAATTTTGGCAATTTTTTCTGTGAATGAAATAGAAGGGAAAAAAGAAAGACTTCATGGTTCTCTGTTCAAGTTCCAACATTTGGCTCTCCCACTGTGCGACGTTGCTATGTGCCCATCTTAGCATCACTTGTGCCATTATTATTGACAAGCTGCATGTTTCTATAAATATTCCAGGAAGTAAATCAGCAAACCATTAGAGATATCTCCTTTTCAGTTAGTAATTCACAGTTTACTTAAGGTGAGGTTGAAACTTTGAGCTGTAGCAACAGTGAAGACCTAATTGTGAAACGCCTTAAGTATACAGAAGCTGGAGAACAAGTATTGGATTTACCATCAAATAAACAAAAGGCACCATGAATCTGGGGCTTAACCCCCTCAGAGTGTTCGTCAGCACTAGTTTTGAGATTTGATTGTAAATACTTTAATCTACAAGGATTCAGTGAAAAAAGAAAATACTTCTGCTACTGGCAGCCCATGTTTTTCCAGATAAGTCAATTCGTACCTATGTATTCTGTTTAATTAGATCACAATGATTGTGCAGCCGAGCCACAGAGTGCGCTCCCCACCCAAGTGAGAGCACTCGAATTGCAACAGAATTGTTGTAAATTTGAGCTGAATTTTGACTAGCTGTAAGACCCTACTGTTAATGCAGCAGCAGCAGCAAAGGTTTAGCTTACATGCTCCGTTGGATACAACAACAGTCTGTTCAGCTGGATAAACTGGAACAAAAGCCTCTTCCACACAGTAAGCATCTCCTGCAGGACTCTTGGGGTGCTCTTCAGTCTGCTATCCCAAACCGCCACTTCAGTGAGCGCATTAGAAGATGGGAGAGTAAAGCACTGTGGTAACTTGACCCACCACCCCTTGGTTCCAATAGCTGCAGGTACTCCTCCTTACACAGTGATAGATTCCGCTCTGTCTGGGTCACGTGTAATTCAGTAGTTTACAGTGAACAAGCTCATTCCTCTTTAAACTCAATGGATATCATTATAAATAAATCTTCTGTGGAAATTGGTCATTAACTTGAACTCACAAACACTGTTAGTAGCCATAGCATTTAAGTACTGATTTTTTGGTACAGAATAGCATTGTAAAGCTGCTTTTCTATCCCCATAGTCCAATTTCTGATAGGTAATAAGATTAGTGGGTAAAAGACTTTGACATTTTTCTAAAATTGCTTACTGATTGATCTTAGAGGTTATAGATACCCCTTTAAAATACATCAATAAATTTCAGAACAAGCATTTGCATTCTGCTTTTGAATCAAGTGAATCTATATGGAGTAAAAAGCTTTGACTTGTCTTTTTCTTGTTGAAATATCAGTTACCAGATCCTGATATAAAAAAAGATCCATTTGGTTGCAATTCACTAGTGAAACTGCAAATTATCTTTGCAATTTAGGAGTCTCTTAACTTTTGCTCAGTTTGCTTTCAAATATATAATACGTTTGCCTTCTGCACACAGCGGAAGCATAAGCTATTTTACTAAAAATATTTTTCTAGTTTTTAGTACTTACAATCCGTAACTGCTTGAAAGTGACAGGACTGGAGATTTGCCTATTAATTTCAGTGGAGCTACGCCATTTACAAAAGCTGAGCACTAGTCTTCAGGATGAAATGCAAACCAGTAGCTTGTATTTGATACCTTGCATGCTCAGCAGAAGCTGCTATTGTGACTACCTGAGTCTGTTTAGCAGAGTTTTGGTGTCTTAATAAAAGCCATCTTGTAACTTATTGTTGACTTTTGTACTGTTATATTTTCCTTTTATGATTTAGTCAGGGGTATTAAGATGTGTGTTGTGTGAATGTGGCAGCTTCTGAAGAGCTGTTCAAGTATCAGTATGATGTTCAAACATCACTCAAAACACAGTACGTGACCTTATCCAAACACCAATGGACTGCAATTATGCAACTATGTATGAACACTTACTAAGGGTCTCTTTCTTCAACATCACAAAGGGCAAATATATTTTTGGTTTCATGCTTTGCAGCGAAGACAATCGAAAGTGTATTCAACATTCCCAGTCCAATAACAGTATTGCAGCAACGTGGTGATCCAATCTGAAATGAGTGTCACACTGTTCTCCCTGGGCACTTGATTTGTACAGTTCTGACAGCTGCTCCAAAAGCAGCATATTCAGAGCTTACCCTCAATGACACTTACCCTGAGGGCATTAGTGGACTTGTCTGGACCTGAGTGTGAAAACAGGGAAGAGCACCAGCACTTGCTCCAAATTCTTCCTTTCTCATCCCTATGCAAAAGTGTTGCATAGTTGCCACCCATTTTCTTTATTTGTAATTTTTTTCTGTGCTATATTTCAGTGGCTAGCAGTCACAGTTTTCTCAGTGCTGTGTCCCTTTATGTCTCCTTTTCATGCTGAGACACAAAACAGATTGATTCGTTGAGGTACCACAGAATCAGAGAAAGGGTTGGGTTGGAAGAGACCTTAAAGATAATTTTGTCCAACCCCCCTGCTATGGCAGGGACATCTTTCACTAGATCAGGTTGCTCAAAGCCTCATCCAACCTGGCCTTAAACACTTCCAGTGACAAGGTATCCACAACTTCTCTGGGCAACCTGTTCCCATGGTTCACCACCCTCATTGTAAAAAAAACTTCTTCCTTATATGCAATCTAAATCAACCCTCTTTCAGTTTAAAAACATTGTGCATTGTCCTGTCACTACAGGAGTTGGTAAAAAGGCTGCAGTAAGATCTCCCTGGACACTTCTCCAGGCTGAACAGCCACAACTCTCTCAGTCTTTCTTCATGGGAGACATGCTCCAGCCCTCTGACCATCTTTGTAGCCCTCCTCTGGACCCACTCTAACAAGTCTACGCCTTTCTTGTACTGGGGACCCCAGAATGGGAAGCAGTACTCCAGGTGGGGTCTCATGAGAGTGGAGTAGAGGGGGAGAATCACCTCCCCTGACCTGCCGTACTTCTTTTGATGCAGACCGTCTGAACTCCAAGCACAAGTTGCCAGGTCATATCCAGTTTTTCATCCACCAGTATTTCCAAGTCCTTCTCTGCAGGGCTGCTTTCAATCCATTCATACCCCAGTCTGTATTGATACTGGGAACTGTCTCGATCCAGGTGTAGGAGCTTACACTTGGCCT